GGAATAAAAATATGTGAAAAACAAACAGATGACTCTATTGAATAATGAAAATTCTATCTACATGGATTTTTATTCATAAGACGTTTATAGGCAATCATATTGTAATACATGTCTCAGTATAGAACAGCATAGATATCAAAAATCTTTGTCTATTTGTTTCTGAACGTCTGTATTCGAAAAACGATGGGTCAACATCTCTCATTAGATAATTCAACACTTATTACTAATGAATTTTTGGAAATATTCAGGTGGAAAAGTATTTGAAAAAATAAATACTTTTCAATGAATACTTATTTAAATAAATATTAATTTAAATTAAGAGTCATTCTAATGAATATTTATTTCAATGACTATTTATTTAAAGAAGTATTAGTTTAAATCAATATTTATTTAAATAATTATTACATTTGCGACGTGACTGTCGTTGTTGGTGTTTTCATAGAGGCATGAGCATATTGTTCTCGTCACACTCTTGTTTTCCTTGATTAGCTTCTATCGATAATCTCTCAAATTCACAAAATATTGTATCGTTTGAATTCATCTTTTGTCTGAGATACTTTTGTTATTGATATAGAGTGAGAAATCAAGAGCAATGACATATTCATGTCTCCTATACACATATTGAAAGAATAATAATTGAGCACAACTGTTACAATTCGATGATCATCAATGTTATAATAGATAAATTTTCGGCTCTTCATCGATGCAGTAATCAAAATCTTAAGATAGGACGATTAACATAGGTTGTTTTTTATGTCTGTTTCTATGCCAACGCTATTCTTAATGAATTATTTTGTGATCAAAAAAACAACTTCTCGATAATAAACTTAATAATATCACCTGATTAATCAGTCTTGTGTATATCTTCGAAATCGGGTGTCAAAACAACTATCTTATGTGCGTGAATAAGTATATACTAGGGTAAGATAATATACCTCTGCATCTTAATGTTACAGTGATCCTCACCATCAGTGTGATACTTACCTCGATCATCAATCTCGTCTAGTCACCTATCATGGCATCGATGACTATTCATAGACATTCAACTTCACTTAACTAAAATTTGTGAGCTATATGTAGCTTAGTATCTTTCATAATAGGAGAAAACCAACTGATTCTGATATATCAATATATCATTAATGCTTTTTAGTGATTAATTTTCTCAAAGACTTATTCTGTACACCCTTTATCGTTTGAATTATTCTGTGCTCCTACGACTCTCGAATTTAGCGATAATTCATTATGTTGAAAAGATTAGATTGCTTTGATGATTTCGATATTGTAGAGTAATTTCGGCAGCATTGCTATTGTTTTTTGATATGATATCAGAAAATTACGATGCCAAAAAGATCTATGCTTTAATTGCTGACGAATACGTTTATTTTAAAAATGCCGAATACCGACATGCAGTTGAATGGTATACATATTTCAATTGCATGATACTACCAAATGAATGTTCTTGTTTTGTGAAAGAAGACAGTAAATTTCCTTTGGCATCAAAGCGTATTTTGGATATAGCCTGTGGCGATGGGCATTATACACGAAAACTGAAAGATCTTGGTTGTTCTTATATTCTTGGTATTGACATCAGTTTGTCAATGATTGATATCGCAAAACAGAAGGAGGCAATTAATCCAAAATCGATTGATTATCTGTGCATAGATGGCAAGCAACTACTACCACCATCGATAGATTCTGCATATGATATTGTAACAAGTAGTTATTATTTGAATTATGCTCAAACACGTGAAGAATTATATGATATGGTCAAAGTCATTTATGAACAATTGAAACCAAACGGATCATTTTATTCGATGAATGATAATGTTTGTGGTGGTCTAATGGATTCATATAATAATGAACGACACAAGAAATATACATTCATGAAAGAATTATACAGTTTAACAGAAGGTACACCAATTAAATATACAAACTATTATGACATTAACACGCCATCAAAGTCATCATTTTACAATTATTATATGCCTCCAGTAATCTATGAAGAAACGTTCAATAAATGTGGTTTTAAATCCTTCGAATGGGTGCCAATACAATGTGATCCCACAGTAGAAAATCCAGCGTTTTATGATGATCTATTAAAATATCCCCACATTATTGGCATCATAGCCAAAAAATGACTATAGTAGTACGAAATTCCTGATTTTTTTAATTCATATAAATTGAACTGACATTGAATTCTTCAGCTTTATTGTGTATCAGATTAAATCCAGAGTCTTATTTGTTGAACATTGCAAGAATGAAAGGAACACAAGGCTTTAAACACACATATAAAAACAAGTAACGTTCATCGACATTGAATGTCGATTCACTTGGCCCTAGACTGACCGAATGATGACAAAGATGTCCTTATATTTTTAAATAAAAATGAATTCTGTATAATGATGAGTTTAGGAGAAATTATTAATATTTGTAACATATTCTACATTACATACTATACATGTATTCAAATAGTTCACAAAAAATATTAAAAGATGCTAATGTATATGAAAAAGTTTATGCTTTATGTAACGACAAACTGGATTGAGTAGCTTACCTCCACCCTTGGTAATGATGTTTATTCAGTTACTTCACATATCCAGAGTGTAACTACTTCATATACAATACACGCTTATATAGGAGAAAGAAAGAGAGAGAGATAAGCACAAGAAATAACAGCAGAGAGAAGATACAGAGGAAAAAGGAAAGAGGAAAGAGGAAAGGAAAATCATCAGAGCGTGCCATCAATATCGGCACACCCTCCCACTCAGATTAGACGCGCTCCTGAGCGTCTGTACAATATAGAAAAAAAAACGGAAAAGAAACAAGGACAACAAGTGAAGAAAAGAAAAAAGAACAGAATACACTCATAAGTTCATCATTTGAACCTCATGAATCAATGAAAAAAGGGTACCCATGACAATCAATAATATGATTTGTAACAATCATTTCAATTACATCTTTTCACACATCTATGAGATCACTTCAACGATTTACGCATTATTCAGAAATTCATGCACCAACATAAGGAAAACCATAGTAAACGACATATTCAGAACGAACTATCTTTACATTTTAAGACACTTAATTCGGCATTTCATTTCGAACATAAGGTAAAATATGATTCAACGCGAGCAAGGAACAGAAATATTTATTTTCACAAATTCAATCAGTATAAATTGACAATTTTTCGCAACACAGAAAGGACAAAACAATTATCTTCACACATTCATAACAGACATATAATCAAACATGCATTTTCGCGCTTATCTATTTTCTTACAATATCATTAAGATAAAAATCAAACGCATAACTCTCTTATAATCCAGAAAAAAAAATCAGTTAGTTACTTAATCAACTCTAGCACATTTTTCGTCATCAACTCAAAGAAAACAAAAATGAAATAAATCGCAGCATACAGAAATTCGAATCTAGTGCGTAAACGATACCTAGAACGATTTCTTTTCATACATTACAATCAGATTAACTTTACATATCACATACAAAAAAAAAATTATACAAACAGAATCACAGCGCCACGGTGCTAATTAAAGGGCTATAGAAAAGCAACGCATACTCAACAAATTCAATCTTTTTCTAGTGATTCTTCATTAAAAAATAACAGAAAAAAAAAGTTTCACACTTCACATCCGCATCTTATCAAACGTAGAATTTTCGCTTAGTAGAAAGAAAAGCAAAATTTATGCAACTTTATGACACCCAACAAAAAACAAACTGATATTGATATCTTTTATCTATATCTTATCATTCTTGGAAGATGATCGATTAATTTTCTTTTAGTTAACAATGCCCATCTATAAATATTTGACCTTCATGGATCGTGAATGATCAATAACATTGAGTTGGATGGAACACATATGGTGATAACAGACATGGAACATATCATTATTGTTTGACAGGTTATCATTTCGACGAAACGCATATCACTGATGATGAGTGCATTTTAATTGCTTACGGCCGATATGCAATCACATTCATTATCATCAATGCCAGCTTGTTATAATAGGAACGGAAAAAACATGATTGAGATTCAGAAAAATGGAAAGATTTGAGAAGAAGAGACATGAAACGTACAGATGTTAAAAAGGAGAGTGCGCCACGACTCCGCACATTCGGCCCGAACATATAGCCGTCCTTTAGTACGTTCACTGGTGTTCTGTGACATTGTCGTTTGCTTAGTACTGCTCCGAATCAGTGCTACAGTCATACGACAGTGCCATGCCTTTCAACTCTCGTCTATCCATGCATTCATTCTCTCACTCAATATTTATTACCGTCCGTTGTTGTTGATTTTTTTAATAATGATTCATGATGTTCAGCTGTTATTTCTTTTGGCAGGATCCGACTTTCAGTTAGAGTTTGCAAAGATTCGTTAGCCAGGATCGACATGTAACGACAAACTGGATTGAGTAGCTTACCGTCACCCTCGGTAATGATGTTTATTCAGCTACTTCACATATCCAGAGTGTCTCTACTTCATATACAATACATGCTTATATAGGAGAGAGAAAGAGAGAGAGAGAGAGATAAGTAAAGGAAAGAACAGTAGAGAGAGGATACAGAGGAAAATAGAAAGAGGAAATCGGAAAGGAAAATCATCAGAGCGCGCCATCAATATCGGCACACTTTAGTTAATTATAACGACTAACATGGTGATTTATGTCAAAGTAATGGCCATTTCTACTACGGACATGGCCAATTGTGACACAGACATGATCATTTGACCCATAAGAATGGTCAACTGTGCTAGGGAAATGTTTGATTGTGCCGTGAAAATACTGAATTGAGCCATACAAACGCTCATCTGTATAATGAAAATGGCCAATTGTGTCAAATAAATGGTCCCCTGTACCACCAAAGCGGTACTTTTCTACTATCAAAATGGTCATTTCTACCACATCTATGCTACTTTGTACCACAAAAATGGTCACTTGTACCATCACTATGCTACTTTGTACCA